CGACCTTGTCGTAAAAGAGTGCGGTTTGCGCGAAAGGAATAAGATCAAGCCGGTTGCCGCTGCGTCTTAATGGACTCGTATTACCAATTAAAATTTAATTATCGAAATTAATTCATTACGGTGTACGACCGCCCAATGGCGATGTCTCGCAAAGTTATTATTATGCTCAATGGAACTCCCCATTTTTTCCTTGTTTTTTTTTCTTTTTATTACACTTAGATTTCTGTAATATCTGGCGATTTCAGTCACTAAGGATGAAATACCTATCCTTTTCCCGACTCTTCCCAAAGTCGGGAATCTTTACATTTTTGCGGCCTGCGAGATGCGCACATAAAGGCTCTCTCCGTTTCCCTTAACACTGCCGTAACTTATCGCTCGTAGACACAGTATTTCTCTCCGGCTCTTTGAAAGCATTTTCTCATTAAAAAATTAAGGGTAGGGAGAGAGCCGGGAGGCGAGCAGGGAGGCGAAAAGGAGCGAAGCGGTTGCAGTGGGACGAACGGGGGTGATGGAGGGTGTGGGGGACCGAGTTCGTGGTGCAGAAACGAAGCATGGGTCTGAGACAGGAGAGTTTTGTGGCAGTGAGCAGGGGGTCCGGGGGTGGACGCAGGGGTCGGTAAGTGCTCTGCGGCTCCCAGATGCGCCCAATATTATGTTTAATGATATTAACTTCTTACTTAATGGTCCGCGGTTCGATTCGAGGTGCGAAAGAGTCGCCCGCTCTCCCTCCCCTGAACCGCAACCCGTGGAAGCCGGAAAAAGTATACCCGGGAGAATAATTTGGCGAGTCGAGTACGAGAAGAGAGAAAAAAGAAAGAGGTGCGTGGGAAAGAAAGAGAAAGAGAGAAGGAGAGAGGAATTAAAGAGTGGGAAAGATAGCAGAGAGAATGAACGAAGAGAAACGGATACGGTGCGGTGAAAGAATCTAATCACTTGAGGAACACATCCATTTGCCCTCCCCCCCTCCCCTTTCTTTTTCTTTGCCACCGCTTCTTGCAAAATAAATCCGCGACTACGTGGATAACCTCCGCCATAAACTTCGCGATAAAAGCCGTAGCATCGGCGGGCATATCCCTCTTTTTCTACGGCAACGCTGCGAAGGGTCGCCCTCGCCCTCAACTCTTTACGCGCGATTAAAGAATCTGTCCCTCGGCCAAAGTGCTTGTAGTACAAAATTTTTGTCGCCCAAAAATTATTTTCTCTCTCTGCAACGAAATAATACTATCTTCTGGAAGAAGGAACCGCATCGATTAGATTCGCGACAGTGCTGATAATTCTTAATTGTCCTATCAACTGCGATTTGCGAATGATCGACCAAATAGATCAATTACTCTCGTGATTGGAGAAACAACGTTAAAATGTAATTTCGTACGAAACTTTTATCTTACTCATTCTCCGTTTACTATGACTTTACGTTGGGAACTGGCCGATTTCGTAATCCTCGCTCGCTTCTTAATGCGGACCGCAGCATCGAGACAGAAATCTTAACGATTCGGGATAAGCCACGATGGTACCCGGGGGCAAACGAGTGCCAAACAATATAAAGCTAAGATTAAAAGTTTCTCGTGGCGCGGGAACGGAAAAGCCGCGGTGCCGCATTAACGAACGACGGCATCTCATAAACTGGGAAATGCCCCGAGGAAATAGTGGAAACATAAAAAAAGGGAGCGCACAAATCCTCGTCTCTATTTTACAAATCCGCTTTTCCGTTTGCGAGGTTCTACTTTGGGAATATCTTTGAGTGAATTTAATAAATTTGTCCGTTGGCGAGGTGAAAAGCGTGATTTTTCCTCGTATCATCTTCGTAGGTTAAATAAATGCGAGATGTGTGTGTCGCGGAGGACGAGGCGATTAAGGACGATAATGCGCGGTGTACAATGATACGACGGGAAACCGTCGCGCGGTGTGAGACCGGTACTTATCTTCCTACGCGCGATCCCTTGCCCAGCGACTAGAATAATTATTTAATTAATACCCTACGTAGCGGCGGAGTCTACCTCCGCGCGCTCGGTCGATTTAAATCCCCCAGATTAATACGAAACCTTTCTTTTCTCTCTCCTTCTCTGTTACAGGCTCCGCGAGGAGAGGGGCGACGCCGAGAGAGCGCTGGCTTTGGACCACAAACCCAGGGATCTCAGCTCGCACAATGGTAAGACTATACAAGCGAGTAAACGCATGCTACTTCGAGTTTAATTACGCAGCTTTGGCTTCACCGAAAAAATTCCGTAAAAAATGCGTTAAGTGTTGTCGCGTGACTTATCCTTTGTCCATTAATCAATGATTCGGCTTAACAATTTGCATTTAATAATTTTTTTACATGTTACATACAAATATTGCAGTTAATTAAGCCGATAGAAACTTAAAGTTTCCTTAAGCGATATAAAAAAATGATAAATTTGTGTAATAAAAAAATTTTTATTCTAAAAGAATAGAAAAGTTAGTTATATCGTGGTGGGTTTACAATTTCTCATGCCATTTCTCGTATTCCAATCTACCTGCTATGGCGCCTGTCACTTGGATTAAGTCGGTAATGCGAGAGCCCTAATCGTCAGAGTTCCTCCGGGGGAACACGATGGGTCGATCGACGCGGATTCGAAGTGTCAAGCGGTGCAGAAAGATTTTTGACCGCGACACGGCACAGCACACGGTCCGTGAGTCCGAGAGTGATCGTTTTTCTTTTCTGCATTTCTATCTTTTCATTCTTTGTGGCTCGTGTGTGTCCGCGGAGCGACGGAGCGTCCCGGACGTTTAGGATTCCCGAGGATTTAAATCCGATATCGGGTTACGTCCTGGACCGCGACCCCATCTCTCCTTCTGATTCCCTATAATATTATAATCCGCCTGATGGAACTCTTTATCTCCCGCGACGGGCCCACCTCGCGCCCGGGACATATTACGATTTCCGCTTACGTTTCGCATTTTTCGACCTGTCAAATAATGCCTGCTCGCGCAGAGGTCGATATCGTATTTGCATATTTTAGCGCGCGCACAATTACATTCGTGAGAATGTCGAAATCACGTTTCACGCAAGAGCGGACTCTCGCCGCCGTGAATCTCTCGATCGAGAACTCCCAGTCTTCCGAACGGCGGTCGGCCGGTGAGAGAAGTCAATTTAACGTAAAGGATGTACGATATTCATTAGATCCGCGCTTAGGGACGAGCCGAGAAAACCGCGACCCTTTTCTCTTTCAACGAGGTGCGCGTGTGTACGTGCCGAAGCCTAGGTCCCTACCCACGGCCATAATACACACGTAGTATCCGTTCCGAGTACTCGTGAGATCACGAGTGGCCCCGGAGCAATGCGTCAGCGCCGACGACCGTTGCCCAAACAGTATCTATCTATGTCAGGATTAAAATACTGGGATATCAAATACGCGCGCGAGCGCGCTCAGACGATCGGGGGCAAGGAAAAAGGGATGCGGAAAGAGAAAGAGGTGGTCGCGCGCACATCGGGCGAGGGTGTGGGGGCGCGGGACGTGAGAGATTCGGGATCGGTGAATCGTCCGCTTGTTCTCGTCTAAACGGGGGATGCGCGGCGGCAAATAAAATCCATCAACTTGTCAGTCCTGGTCGATGGACGCGCTTCTCGTTCTTCTCGTAACCGAACGGCTCTCCGGGAAAGATTGACGCCGTTATCGTGGAGTCCGAGTGGATACACGATTGCGATGTCAATCCGATATTCTGATATACATCGTACGCGGGATAGATGTACCTTTATATGTCCTCGATACGTCCGCGGGAAATGCCCGAAATGTCACTCTGAGTTATATCGTTAATTAATTTTGTCGCAATGTCCGTGCGTTTTCAGGCTCCTCCAACGGTCACAGCCCGGTTCTAAATCTCTCAAAAACAGCGGGAAGCGGAAGCGTGGGCGAGCAATCCGGAAGCGAGGCAGGCGCGTCGCATCGTTCTCAAGACGACGAGGAGGAGGACGATAATCTGTCGGAGGACCTCGAGGACGACAATGAAAAGGACGAAGGTACGTACGTTTCCGTGCGTTTCACAATCGGCGAGTCGTCGGCCATTTGCATCTCTGATAAAGCGATCGGCTCGAAAGAGATCGTTCGCCTGGCAATCAATTAAAACCGAATGATAAAACGCGTTCTCTCGGTTTTAACATTCGACGAACGTCGATTTCGATTCGCAGGAGAGAGAAAGAGCGAACGAGCGAGCGAGAGAGAGAGAGAGAGAGAGAGAGAGAGAGAGAGAGAGAGAGAGAGAGAGAGAGAGAGAGAGAAAGGATTCGTGCCTGTGAAATAATTATATCGATTTTGCTGGACACGCCGCGTTTAAAGACGAGTTCTTCTAGACGACTGGCAGGTCAAGCCCTCTCATCCATCATTTCTACCGAGAGAGCGCGAGGGACGCTTCGGGATACGTCTTCCATCGCGCTCTAAGAAACGTGCTGCAGCGGTTGCCAAACCGCACATGTAAATCCGAGCGTTTTTAATTACTTTGAATTGAACGAAAGGCTAATATCTCGCGGAGACGCCGAGTGTAATTACCGTTTCGTAATTCATTTATAGGATACGTCGTTTTGTTTTGATGACAATGAATGGCCAAGATTATCCGCCATTTGGTCCTCTCTGGTGATCATTTTGAAAGTGCGCGGTATCCGTGTAAGAAGCATCACTGCCAGGGCAAAGCGATCATTAGACTCGCATCTTCGGTATTTAGTTTCATTTTTCTAATGAAAGATGGATCGAGAGATCGAATCTCCGTCTGAGCTTTGTACCGCTATCCCCTCCCCCCCGCCTTGTTCCGGCGCTCCGGATTCAGCGAAGCGTCATAATCGTTTTGATTTCTAATCTACTCGGCCGGCATTGTCGCGCCGGCATGTTAATTGGCCGGGCCAATTAATGGGGCCCGAGGGTCGCGTATCCACCACGTGGGATCGATTCCGCAACACGAGTGCATCTCTTACGAGGAAGGGGAGGAAAAAAAAAGAAACGGGAGATGCGTTTGATCGTCTGGCGTTGTCTTAATTAATTCTTCTGTCGGGTCGCGATTTAATATATCGGAGTCGAGTCGTTAGGAGAAAGCGCGCCTTGCGCGATCACGAGTGATTCACGGTACATGGCACTCTCGACGGGGGCGACGATAACCAGATCGTAAGAATTCGCGGAAATCGCAAGATTATCCGCCATTTGGTCCTCACGCCGCCGGAGGCTGGTTGGAAAACGTCGGGGACCGCAAGCAAAATTAGGGGATATCCCGCGTGTACTCCCGAATTAGTGGGGCCTGTATATTCCACGAAAGGCGCAAGTTAGACGTATAAATTTCGTGTGCGACGAGAGAGGGGAATCAAATCCGTGTCTCGCAGCGTGTGTCGTATACTCGCAATACATGGGGGTACATCCTACCTATGGTGCGGTGCTCGCGGGTGATCGAAGTAGAACCACATCGAACGCCCGTGGGAGTGTACACGCTCGTGGAATGCAGTTCTGATTTAATGAGACGCGCCACTATCTCTCACTCTCGTTCTCGGAATCGGATTTCGCCGCGGATTCGTCGTCGATTTCAAACGTGACGATCTTCGTCGAATCTTCCTTGTACCCACTTCTGATTATCTGTGCTTCAGGACGCGCAAGTCTTTTTCTCAAGTCTGGCGGCCTTATATATCGGCCGATTGTGAATGCACGCTTTGGATAATTTTTTTAACCCTCTTTCTCGCCACGCAGATCTCATCATTGATTCTCTCATTGAAAGATTCGAAAAACGAGAGATGAACTCGCATGCCTTCGTGGCGAAAAAAATTTCAAAAGGATGGCTGGTGACTCTCGTTCCGATAATTTTAATGGCTCGAGAGATATAAGCGTTCGGAATAATGCAAGGTAAAAAAAAAGGGAGAAAAGGATTACGCGCGATTTTAGGAGGACGAGGGATCGAGAAGAAGAAGGGGGGAGACGTACTTCCCTATCAAAAGGTGCCGGCCGGTGGATCGGGCACCGAAGGCGCGCTGAGCATTAAATCGGCCAATGGCAATAAGTAACCGATTGCCGAGTGGCGTTGTAGGTGCGTACAGATAATTAAAAGACGATACAATAAACTACGTATCGTTGGCCGTAAAGCAGCCGGGCTGCTAAAGCCCACGGTGTGGGCCGGTACTGCGAGCGATCACTTAAGCTCAGAACCCACGCAGACATCTTGTCTCACCGCCACTCTTCGATATCCTGCGGCAATAGCCATAAGGCATCTCCTTTATTCCGCCGATCCCCCCAGCGATTCTTCTCGCTGATGTTGGAGCAAAATGGCCACGTGAGCGGATGCCTCTGTAGCGTGACAGAATGCCAGACCTGTCAATAATACGTTTTGTGTAGAGCGCATTTCCGAGAAAACGTCACGAGGAATCCAACCTCGGGTGGTCCGATTTGATCGAGCGGATCAAAGAGACGGATAATATAATATTGACGATTCAGTGCAGCAAGCTTAAAATCGGCATTATAGAAAATTTTCAGCAAGCTTTTTCGACATAATTTTAAATAAGAATTTTATACGCGAATAATTGAGTGATCTGTAAATTATATTATTGGGTCACCGATAACGTTATTTCGTTGCTCCCTGATATTTCTTAGCGACGAACAGCCAGTCGCCAGTCCCAGGCAGGACGCGACTAATCGTCACGAAGAACGTCGTGTAGCCGTTTAATCCGTGAATTTAATTCGCTCGTTGACGTTAAATCAAAAAGTGGCGAAGGGTAACAAGTAGTCGTCGCGAGATTACGACTTCGAGACACGCACGCCGCATAAGTCTTAGGCCTTGCCCCCTCGTACGTCGGACGACGTTGTTCGACGTTCGTTGCCACGAATTTATCATCAGCGTTTTGCTCTCGACAACGACGCGGTGTTCTCGTCGGAGAGGTATCTTCGCGTAAAATGAGCGTTATGGAAACAGAACGTTTGTGTTTATCCATCACCTCGGTGAATATTTCTCGAAACCGTTCCTCCTCCCTCGTCCGTCTCGAGGATTCCACCAGGAGATAATGTGAAAATTTTGCTTTCAGATTTGTCAGACGTGCCGGAGAACCTGCCATTGCCAGCACCGGGCTCGGAAAGTCCTCCCCAAGCTCTGAACTATTCGCAGATAGCCTCGGCGGCGGTCGCCGTGTCTCAGAGCGCTCAGGATCCCTCGGTCTCGAGTACGGAGACCCTGCTGAGGAATATCCAGGGCCTGCTCAAGGTCGCGGCCGACAACGCGAGGCAGCAGGAGAGGCAAATCAACTACGAGAAAGGTCAGTGGCAGGGCTTTCTTAAGACACTTGAGGGCGCTCTCCACAATTTCATTATCTTCCAGCTCTCCCAGAACCACATTAAGAGGCATTAGTCCCTGTCCCGTCGACGAGACCCGCTACTCCTCCCCGAGCCCCGCGCTCTCCCGTTCTTTATCCAGCCTCATCTACAGCGTCGCCTCCCTCTCACGCTTCAACCTTTGCGCTTGACTCGCTTGTACCGCGCCAAGATCCCATGGATACGTGAAATGGTAATGATAATAGTCGGGGAGAGCTGGATGTCCGAAAGTAAAGACCTGTAGCGTAAAGGCGCGATAACGAACACCAAACGCAAATGATTTATATGGATCCCGCTTTTTATATTAATGTTAACTTTAAACGTACGTCTCGATATTATTTATTGACGCTTTCCTTTGCGCAAAGTATTTTAATATCTGCATAATATAGAATAGAATGCATTATTATTATGGAATCGATCATTCTTGTTCAAGTTGCGCCTCGAAAATGATAATCATAAATATTTTGCGCAAAAAATTGCGCGATTTTTCCCTCCGGTGTGAGAAATCGCCTGCAAAAATGTCGTCCTCGGGCGTGTCGCGTGGACGACTCGCGGAATAAATTTAAATGTTGTCGTAGCCGTAGCCGTAGATAGAGTTTGTACCGTAGATTGCTTACGATGAATGTAGGCAAGGCCCATTAAGGACGAGCCGGCGAGGCGCAGGATGACGTGCAGCATACGACTTCTTTCTCATTAACGCGCGTGATAAATCGGCCGGCGTTATTATTAAATATGTTCGTCGCGAGATCTCGGAACGCCAGACAAAGAAAAAGAAGGGAAAAAAGAGAGAAAGGAAGAAAGAAGTCGGGGCACGGAATCGTTTCTCACGGCGTGGAGATTGCTTCAGGATTGAAATTGAAGTGAGCTTAATGACATAACAGGCATCTCGATGTAAATCATCAAGCCGTTTACTCGATATCAATCGAGTGTCGTCGCGATTTGTTTGCAATGACGCATTGGCAGAAAATCGCGTTACGATGGGAAACGACGATAACGCGTAAATGGCGCCACGTGTACGCATTACGTGTATTCTTATATTATTAATGCTATCATTATATAAGTGAATTGCCATTGTAGCCGTTAGTTGTTATTGCTAATATATAATAGTTGTATCATCGGTATATTGTTAAATCTGCGAAAAATTGTAATTGTAAAGAATTTACGAATGTGTCTCGTAGATGAAATTGTGGAGAAGGAATTATATACGAATAAAAAGCGCTATATAAAACGACACGCAAGTCGAATTGATTTCAGCCGAGCGATCGCAGTTCTTCGGCGTAATATATATTGACGAATTAAAAAAAAAAAAAAAAAAAGAAAAGAAAGAAAAATTATGTTTCTTTACGCACACATTCATTGTCCAAATTTCGCTCGCAAATTGTCATCGATCGGCTATATCCGCTTCTACTTTAACAACATGTCACCATGTCGATTATCATCAATATCTCGTATTCGCATCGCAGATTTACGATCGATATATATTACAACCTTGTTTAAACGACATTTCGCGGCACGAAATCAAACTGCTATATTTAGCGCTGAATATAGCCTCGGCGCGCACGTCTCGGCAATTCTCGAATCGGCTTGGAGCCGGACTGACCGACGAGGACGTATCGCATTTCAGCGGAGACGGGCGGTCAAGGCACTCGACGTACGGGCGTCCCTTATCTGCGTTTTCGCAAGTTTTAAGTGGCGGATCCCCATAAACGCGCC